ACTTGTGATGGACCTCAATACAGGGACTTGTGATGGACTTTAATACAGGGACTTGTGATGGACTTTAATACAACACTGTGTAACATTAAATACTTTTAAGAAGTGATATCAAGTTGAATGTGGTAGGATATTAACTGGGAGTTTTGTCATCAACAACAGAACGAAGCAATGACTGGGACTCACACCCATGAGCGAGTCTTTTCTCGACTCACTCTTGCCGTCTTGGAAGACACTGGCTGGTACCAGCCCAACTACGACATGGCCGATCCGTTAGATTGGGGAAGAGGTCTTGGATGTGACTTTGTGACAAAGAGCTGTAAATATTGGATGGATACCAAACGCGATGCGTAAGTCTAAAAGTTTGAGTTTACATTGTTTTTCCCAATCATATAAAGACAGTGAATGTTTTGATTTTGGAGACTTGCCATTGGTGGCGTCCTGGATAGACGCAAAATCAGTCAACTGTGTTCATTTTCTGTTATATTTTTAACTAACAAAGGCCTCCTGTTGTGTGAAAGTGGAACACTTTGTTTTGGGTAAAATTGAAATCTGAAAATTTTCAGATGATTTTGGATAACAACGTATCATAATATGATGCATTCTTTGCTTTCAATTTCCAAAATATCTCAGAGAGGCATGATCCATTGATGTTATTGAAATGCCTCGTGATTGTCTCGCAACCCGTCTGACGATTCTTTCTTGCAGTGAGGAAAGTTTGTCCCCGTTCTGTGATAAAATTCGCGAGGAGCCTTTCACACTGACCTGCAGTGTTGGCAGGGCCTCTGTGGCTTTATGTAACCTGCATCGCTACGACGAACATCTAGCTCCACAATACCAGGTATGCGAATACTGGCCCCACGGAATGAACTGTGTAACTTTTTACTTCCCAATTCCACATGTACAGTCCTGTAAATTGACAAAAAGAATTCTGATTGTTCTGAAATTGTTATTGTTCCATTTCCGTTTACTGAATAATACCTAACTTCTTATCGTTGATCCGTTTGACTTTTTCAGTGCTTAAGCATTTGTTCCTAAAGCATGCTGTTCTTCATTTCATTGACAAATTCAATTGGAACTAAACAAGGACGAGGGGAAAGCTTTTCTTAATATGACAGTCCAGCACATCAGACCATGATGTTTACTTCACGCTTAGCTGCTGCTAAATCTTAGTTTCCACAGAATCTGGAGATTGCGGGTCTGATTTAAATTTTTGTTTAAGGAAAGACTTGTGGTTGTGATCTAGTTTTGATCACAATGTTGGAACGTTGATATATGAATTTCTAGAGGATTGGTGCAGTTTGATGAAAGTGACGATATTCCACTACCTGTTAATCATTTGAGCTGTGTTAACATTGCAATTAATTACATTGTATTTCTGTTGAAATGAATACTGAATAAGTACTGAATAGTTCGTGTATTTTCTCCCTCAAGGGTGAGATTTGTCAGGATTTTTCCTGCTTTTAGATTTTTTATCAGGAATTTCCTGATTTCAGGATTTGTTTCACAATTTCTCTCAAAATATGGAAAATCTAGAAATTTACCATTAACCCTAACAGTCCCAAATCCTCCAATTTCAATACGATTTTACATACACCTTGGGGGGTTAGGGTTAAGGTGTTTATACGTACATTGTGTAAAAAAATTGATATACATGTAGGACTCAAAAAGTGGGTATTTGAAGTGGTGCATTCAGGCAGAGGCAAATGAATGCCATAGACCCTGCTCATGATGTGGTGGATATTTCCCTTTCCTCAATCTCATCCCTGCTTCCTTTTAGTTTACTATTTTTTATTGCTTTTCCCCATAATGAGACACACCCTTCCCTATCCTGCTTATTTAGTTCCTCCAGTTCTGTTTTTTCATTCTGTAATGCCCGATTCCTTTTGTTGTAACAATAATATTTACTCTGGAAACATTAGCACATGTATCTTTTCCACTGTTTCTTTGATTGAAAAACATACATTTATCTTGTGATTCCATCATGGTGGGTGAGTGTGTTTTCCGTTGAACATGTTTTATCCTAGTTTGCAATTTGAGTCGTCGAGGCACATGTTTACTCAGGGAGCTTTCTTTTTTTTTCTTCTTTGTTGGTCACCTGCTTTTCTTTGCCTTATTTTTGTCTCTTGTATAGAATTATTGTCTCATTATTGAATTACGAGTTAAGTGCCGATGCTGTGCCCTGTAGGTAAATCTTTTCTTGACACAAGCAAGGATTACATTTAACTTATTGAATTTGAAAAGAATAAGGGTACCTCCTGTTTGGTTCTGTCAAACCTTGCACACTGAGAATGGATGTCAGAAGCTGCTGCCCAGATCAAAAAACAAAACACAGAAATTGAATTGTGAAATTTACAAGTAAAAATTGCCTGACCATTTTCCTGTTCACTGTGTAGTCGGAATTACACGTATGTGTTGATTCGTAAACATCCATCCAGTTTTCTTATACTTTGACATTATCACATATACATGTACAATGTGTTTGGGGGGTGATTGCATGTAATGAATTTCTGTTCACTGCAGTTATCCACTGTTCTCTTTTCCTGGTCCATGCACAGTATTTTGATTCATTGCCTGGTGTCAGCAGTGAAGACGTAGGACAGTACGGAGGGACCTCAGAACTGGCAGATTACTGCCCATTTCATCAGGTAAATTGTCAAATTTCTTGATACCGTGTCATCAGTGCCGTTCTCCAATTACATTTACGCACTTTGAAAAACATGCACATGAAATGTGCGTCATATGGACATGATGGATAATGTAAAACACTTGTAACCTGGCACTAGGCTTGAACTACACTATGGAATGGTTAAATAAATCACGCCAACTACATGCTGGCAGGCATACATGTAGCTGTGAACATACTCATCATAAGTTACACATGTAAATGTAATACAGGTTTACGTTTCCAGTTATCAAAGAGTATGTTTTAAAATTGGTAACTTTATGTATAATATGTGCCATAAAGGTAACTCATGTACTTATCAATCCTCATGGCACAAGTGTGCATAAACTTGTTTGCTTAAAAGATAGCTGGGGCTCTAACCTAAAGGGAGAATGTTTCTTGAACACATGGTCTTTGCACTGAAGTACATGTATATGTACATAGGGGTCTCCATTCACAAAGGTATATATGAACATCATGCTTATGTATTTTTGGTCACAGAGTAGGATGAAAACTGCATGTACATTGACAAATTAGTACTGAGATAAAAGCTTAACATGTACTGTATGTTCCCTTGTTTGTCCCAACTTTATCAGCAATTCAATTATAAAGAGACTAATGGTGCTAAGAAGTCAACAACGTGTGGGATATCATCCAACACACCGAGTAAGTACAGGAAATTGTCCCAGGATTCTCGTCATTTCACTTGGTGTCATTGGAGTATGCAAACATGCCTATCGTTTCTAGGATATGGCTTTAGTTTATACGGATGAGGCACATGTGCACATGGAAAACAATATTAGCTTTGTAATTCATAGGCCAACTGTACATAGCCTTGGAATGAGGAAATCAGAGTCAGCATTTTTTTTAGCGCATACGTACAGGTACATGCATCTTGACTGTTATTGCAAATGAAGTAATTTTCCTGTGGTCGTAGTTGTGGCTGGAAATTACATCATGAAAAATATGCACATAAAGGGAGCCTACGGTGAGTGACTATGGCTGCTTCCCACAGATACATGCGTATGGTTCAAGTCACAGCGAGATATTTTGGACATGGCCTTCCTGTAACTTGAGGCTTTGTGTCCATATTGTAACACAGGCACAGAGAATGGACCATTGAGTCATTACACACAGTGGTTTGGGGCAGAGTTGACAAGGTTCCGAAGAAAATGGCCAAGGAAAAAGGGCTAAAAGGCATTTAACATTAGGGTTGTGTTGAATCTTCAAATATTTGATTAATTATTAAATGTTTCAATATGTATTTTCAAATCAAATATTCCGAGGCGAGAGTCAGTCAAATGCAAAAGAAAAATTTGATTATTTGGTTGTAAAATTGCATTCTAGAAGCTTATGTCATGGTGTTGCGAGTAAGTGTAAAGTCACCCATTGCATGTGCCCATCCTCTTCTGTCCAGTTTTTCTCTACTTAGTTCTCATGGTATGTCAAGTAAGCTGGGGCTAGGGAAACAAATCACAAATTAGGACCAAACATCAGTTTGCCTCTTCCTTTACCCAGGAGACAGACCCCTATCATGAAATTCAATGAGGGAGACCATTACAAATGCCTGTATTTTGTTTTTGCTTAAGAAAGGAATTTGGGCATAACTGAATATTCTAATTTATGATCCATTGGAAGGTGGAGATTGGAATGTACGGTTGTTTCAATTGACTCTGCCTTATCAAACCTACACAGCTTTGTTTGTTTTCTACCAACTCTTGTTAGCCCAAATTTGGATGTGATTTGGATTGTTTGCACCAGGTCGCAGTGAGAATGTAGCGGCAGAGTATTACGGTATGCGATCGGCGTGCGTGGAGCATGCCGATTCCTGGAGGCAAGCCCAGTGCGATCAGTACCAGGAACAGCAAACATGGGGAGCAGGCTGCTATCAGGTGGGTCATGAGTATAGGCATTGCATGGATTGGAGTGATGGTGGGGGAGGGGCTAGAAAGAAACAGTGGGAGGATTGTGATGTATACAAGTACATGTTTAACGATTCCTGGAGGCCAGCCCTGAGTGGTCAGTACCCAGAACAGCAGACATGAAGAGCAGGCTGCTATCAGGTGGATTATCAAATCTTTATTTGCATTGTATGGATTAACATGATGGTAGGGGAGAAGCTAGGGCAAGATAGTGGGAGGCTTATTGCTGATTCCTGGAGGCAAGCCCATTGCAGTTACTTCACATGAGCAGCTCAGATTAGCGTTTTTGAATCATAACAGACACAATAGGAGGGCGCTGGACTAAAACCAAGGGATTTTACCCAAACGTAATAGCGCCCCCAACTGTGTCCACCATAAATGTACCACAAATAAGCTAATTGGGGACAGGGTGCTTTAAGATACTGGTAGGTGTTAACAAAGTAATAGACACTGATATTTGTTAGTTTGATTATCCGGGGGGCGGCTTGGGGAGGCAGGGCCCTTGCATTGGGGAAAAATGTATTCCTGGACGTGGAGCTTAATGCAACCAGTACCAGTCACACAGGACATGGGGGATATAATATGTTGAGTGTATCAGTGGACACTGGTAATGTGTTGGTTTACCTTCAGGAGGGGGCAATCAAGGGGACATTTATGATGGGATGTCAGGAAATGTGTCTTAAGGTCATCTTTTCAATAACTGTGTTTCAGAATGAGTAAACCGAGCCCTCTGTTTTTAGATGTATCATTTTTGGCATCCTGATTGAAGTGGGTGTTATACGGGTAAACATTGCCGAGGGTTTCCTGTTGGATTTACATTGAGCAGGATTCTTTGAAAGGCCTTTAATTTCCTATGCAGCTCTGGCAACTTGTAACTCAGTCTGTCAGATTTGTTGTATGGTCATGCTTTGAATCAGTCACTTGGTGGTTATTAACGGTTATTACCGGTAGATGTGTACATGCGTACTGTTAAGCAGGAGGTCTTAGTAGAAGTCTCATGTTGGTAAGATAATTTTTTTCTTCCAATCTCTTAACTTGACAAGACTTGGCATACAGTGTTTTTCAAAACGCATCAAAGAAGGATAAGATAAAACCAGTTGTTGACTTTCAATCGCAAGCATTTCTTCAGCTATTGTTCTCATGTGTAATCATCTCCTTCCTGTGAGCGCCAGTATTTGATCAGTCACTTCCACATTCTTTCTCCCTTCAAAATCCTGTTCTTAAACCCGCCATATGCTTTGTGTCCCGATCAGTATTCGTGCAGCAGAGATGGACTGAAGATCACTGTGGAGGGCGTGAACCACCTGTGCTCCTGGAAGGGCCAGCAGATCCAGGTCAGCGTGACGTCCAGCGCCTACCTCCACACAGGCACCATCATCTGCCCGGCCTGCCAGGAGCTTTGCGGAGCTGCCTGCCCGCCGGAGGAGGTGCCCGGAGTCACAGTGGAGCTGACTGTTCGAGGTAAGGAGAACTGGTCACAAAAAAAAGTTATAAATGAAAGGAATGTTCAATTTACTGGTTAATTTGGGAACTGTGTAGTCGTGGGATTTGTGGAGGTTAGCTGAATAATTGGGCCAACATGCTTGCCTTGAAGGGCCCATGTGAGGTAATTTCTTGTAAATAACCTTACTTTCAATTTTGGTTGTGCTTTTTTGAGGGCATTTTGATCCCCACAAAAAAGTTGCCATAGCACGAGATCTACATGTAGTACAGCTTTTTTCAAGGATTTTTTCCTGACTGTGGGAACCCTGTTACATCAGCCACTTTCTGAAATTAGACCCAGAATATCAATGATTTATCTGTCAGAAGTGTGATTGCACGAATGAAGTGCTATCGACAGAATCCCACTAACCTTTATGGATTAGCCTCAGCAAACCCACTGTGTTGTCTTATTACCCACAGAGCCTGGTGATGAGGGGGAATGTCCCAGGCTAGCCTATGACACTGTGGGGATCTGCGTCAATGATTGTGACAACTGCAGAAGTGATGAGAAATGCTGCAGTAACGGCTGCGGACGTACGTGCCAGAAAGTTGTCGTCCAGAAATCAACTTGTGAGTACAGTTGTCGCTTCAAACATCTCTCCATATCTTTTTGCTGTATGTGACCCGTCACCGAAAAATGAGCGTGAAGTCGCATCCTGCTCTGTCTTATTTTTATCAAAGTCACATCAAAGTGGAGGTCCATTTTGGTTTTTTTTGTAATATTTGGAAAGAGTTACCTGTCTCCTACTTAGTTCCAAAGATTTCACAGGATCAGATATTTAAAAACGTCATTTTCTCAGCAGTTTTGATGATAGCATTATTCGTGCCTGGTCTGAAATGTTGAAGCAGTGTCAGGAACAAAGACGCGAAGCTGTCAGAATAATGTCACTTTGTCACCTGATAATGTCACTTTGTCACCTGATACTTTTACCCATGTTTCTTACCCAAGTGTTCCATGTTTATACCAGTGGAAAGCCCTTTTTCTGCTCAATTTTGAAATTCTGACTTTCAGCTCAATTTGTGGTGACAGGTCACACACCAAGTTATTGTTTAAAGAAAGTTGAAACAAAGTCCTGAAAAAAGTTGTTGCTTTGTTTTTGTCATCTACAGATGAGCCATGCCCAAGCCAGGCCCCAGAAACCATCAGGTCAAAGGTCATGCTACTCACTAGTCTAATGTCATTGTCTTTCACCTGTATTTTGCCTCAATTTTTTTGATATTCTATTCTGCAATGCCTTAAAGTTAACTTAAGATCATGTTGATCATAATTATTTGATGTTCTTCAAACAAAATTGCCTAAGTTTACATATCTATTTTCTGTGGTTTTATTTGGTCACACATTCTTGCAAAATTGAATAACTTCAACTTTCCTCCTTCTGTCAGAGACATATTTGTAAAACCTTGATTTAATTTTCACTGAGACATACAGTATTACTACAAATCTTTGCAAACAATTATGTAAATTTTCTGTAACATTGAAATTTCATTTCAGAATTTCCGGTTTTCCTTTTTTGCAATAACCATCCACCGACTTTTTCTGTGCATGAAACATACCTTATGCCTTTTTGGTCCACGGACCAAGTTTTCGTCTTTGAAAAAGATCTTTTCTCCTTCTCTTGGTTAAAATCTCTCGTGTTCTCAATGAATTTTGACTTCAACTCAGGGTCCGTCTTCACTTCATAAACTGCCATTGAAAAGCCTACTACAGGCTGTGTCCAAAGAACTTGGCTGCGGCTAGAAATTGCGCATGAGTCAGTGTGAAGATTGCAGCCAGTTTGCATAGTGTTGCGTGTAATTTTAAGCCATACCCAAGCAATTCAGATGTAACCACAGGTTAATATGAGTGCCTTGCACTGCATGCTGGCAAGCGGCGTGTGCACATTTTGATATATTAGTCTGCAGGAGGTTATCTCTGAATAAGGGAAAAAATTGAAATCATTTCTGTTCTGCTTCTGTTTTCAAACTCTGAACCATATGGTAGTTTTAAAGTTTAGATCAAGGTCATTCCCAGCATGCAGTGCAGTGCGTTGTTGTTATGAGCGGCTGCTCATCTGAACATCAACACATGAGACTTTTTTAGCACATGTATAAAGAAAATTAAGTCTCATGCCTTTAAAAGAAGTCATTACTTTTATATCTGATGGCTGGTAATAAATATTTGTAACAGAAAGTACAGTAACTTTCATTAACACCCTGTATGGCTACAAAACCCAATATGATACAACAGGTGTCAAATTTCTTGAAATTTGATGTATTACCTTCATTGCATTTCTATTGACATAGTCACGAATGCTTTAAATACTGACACATTCCACAGGCGGAGCCGTGTGTGTAGTCCCTCCACTCAAAGGGCAGATAGTTTGTGATTGACAGATGATACTTGGTGAATCACTTTCTGAGAGGATGACTTTAGTTCGTAAAATACGTGAGGGTCTGAGCAAAGTTTTTTGCTGTCAAAATGAAAAATATAAAAATATATGAAAAAGGAACAAGTAAGTGATTGTAATTAGCCTGTCAAGAGTGAATGAAGTTAAGTTTTGAAAGTTCTCAATGAAAAACGTACACTACGTCTTTGGGATTTTGTGAATTAAGAACTGATTGTAGATCGAAGCTCATTTCATTGAAGTGTTCATTTGTGTTGGGCACTAGCTTGATTTGTAATTAGAAGGTTTTGTATTCAAAAAATCCCACTGGATCTTGCTACCGGTTTGTGCTATCGAATCTTGCTATCTGAACTCATTGCATATTTCAATTCACGCATATACCGGTATACATGTATACATGAACTTCACTTTTTTCCTACTCATACTGGTGTCGGAACTGTCAAGTAAATAGTTTGCACTTAATCTTGTATTTTTTCTGCACTGAAACACAATACTAGGACTTCAGTTCTTATTCTACGCCTACTAAGCACGCATTGTAATATTTAATCAATTTGTGCAATTGGATGTGAATACTTATTGTCATTTGGAAAAACTGATATTTTGAAAGATGCTACATTATTACTGCTTTCAATGTTTTAGACCAATACTTCCCACAGTCATCAAATAACATGTTTAATAAACAGAAGCTCCGTCTTGGACCCTCCAGCATAAACAGTATAAAGTTGTTTCCAAGACAACCAAAGTCTGTGGTTCGAATTTTCTTGAAGATTTCACCTACCATCAAGCTTGATAGTACAAAATGATTGTGAATTTTTACTGTTCAAAATTGACTGCTCATTAAAAACTAGTTTTAAAGACATTTCTCTGCTGGAACAATAAGGTTGCACCAAGTTAACCCTTGTAAAGGTGAATATGAACACATTTTGTAACTAATATGAACGACGCACATACACAGACATGTACAGTGTATTTAAACATTGAAACAATGTGGCACGTTGCTCTATTTTTGTAGTTCTTGTGTTTTGTAAACTTTGTAGAAATCATGAATGTCGGAGAGAGTTTCGCTCAACACGTAATCTCAATTTGAGAATGCCCATTGGTGCCAATAAAAACTGAACTAATCCATAACAACATTAATGGGCTGTTTAAGTCAACATTTTGTTGTCCCCACATGGATTTGTGTTTCAAATTTGCACGGACGTGATGACTGCATCATCAGCTGAATTGCAGGTCTTGTGATATTTTAAAGGTGCACTCTTTAAAGCCTATACCTCTTAAAGTACATGTCCCATTGTGTGGAAGATAAATAGAAAGGAAAGTTTGTACTTAATGTGAAGTTTTGTCCATGGGGGAAAAATCATAATTGTGGATAAAATTGGCCAGCTGACAATCAATACCGTTTAGTACTTTTTAAACTGTTGTTAAACCCACAACACAAGCCCTAAGTGTATGTAATACACAGTCACCTCCTGTATTTTGAAAGCAATTTTGGTAGAAGTCAGTGTAATCGTGTTGTATCACATTTTTATGAAAAAATGTACAAAGAAAGCATGGTTGTATATACTTTGATCTTCTGTACACTTTGAATACGCTGCAGTGTCATTCTCCCAAGGGAATGTTATACGTGTATTGAGCAATGTAAATCTTTGCTGTTTTGAGCGATACGGTAAAACTGACCTTCCAAGGTAAATCCATTGATTCCGTTGATTATACATTCTCTGCCCTCCCCAGAGGAAGCTGAAGTAAATTGGACTACTCAATGAGTCACTGAGGGAGGTTAGTTTTGACCACTGCCTGACATAGGAAATATTTGTTTGTATAACAACACACTCACAGTTTTGGCAGTTATGAAAAGATACGCATATATTAAATGAAGAACCTCTGCCAATGTATTTCTATTTCAGTGGGCAATCAGAAAGGTACTTTTTTTTTTCAAACTGCCTCTTGATGAAACTAGTTTCCCCCACTGCAAGTGAGCAACGGACATAAGTTTGTGCTTTTAGATGCAGAGCTCGTTTTGCTATTGGGAAGGAAATTACTGACAATGGAAGCCATTGCATAGCATGTTTGATAGTATCTTTTGGCTGGGCAAAAATTGGTAGTGTCTTTGAGTCTATCATAAGTCCCTGCAAGTCCATCACAAGTCATTTAGTCTTAAGGTAAGTCACAAGCAATTTGCGTAAACTGTGACAAAAGTATTCCTTTGTCAATGTTCACTTTGCTTCAACTGGTCTTGTGAAAAGACTTGTGACAGGACTTGTGAGAGACTTGACTTTCGCACTGGCAGAAATTGTCGTGCGAATGCCACATGTACTCTCTTTCCAATTGCAAGAAAGAATCTGTGAGGTGTTAGGATGCGGATTTTTGTTTTTATAATAATGGCATTAATTTAATTGCATGTACCTTGTCTGTGATTCCCTGTTTTCCAAGACGCACAAACAATTTAACCTGTCTGGGAACATTTCAACTTGGGCCAAAATGGTATTTCAGATATTTTAAAGGGCAAATATGCATTTAGCTTGTTACTTGAATATGGTGGTTACAGTTACTAACATTTGGTGCTTTTTGTTGTAAAATGGCCCAATTTACGAAAGAAAAAGATTGCCTTAATTTTTTATTCATTGCTCTTCAGTGTTTGTCTCGCTCCAATGTCTTGAGTTTGTTGAATTTTGTTTTCATATATCTAACCCCCACTGAAAGCACACACTAATTCACAATTTCAATTATGCTTATTATTTTAAACTGAAACCTGCATTGCTAATTCTGATGTAAGGGAGGACCTCATAGTTTGATAATAAAACTTCCAAGAAAGTAAATTGTGAAGCTTTTCCAGTTCTTGGTTGTTGTGATCTTGTCTGTTACACCTTGGCTCTTGACACAAGAAGTAACCATAGTGCTGCAGTAGAGGCTTTGCGTGGTAACCATCTTGCAGGGCAGTTCTTTTGTTCCACAGGGAAACCTTATCTGTGCATACCCTGAAAAACAAACGCACTGGCCTGCAAGACGGCAGACATGCAAACCCTCTATACCACTATCCATTTAGCACTACAGTTGAGATTGTCCAAACTTTAGTTTGGACTGTTATCATAGTTTGGGTTCAATACCTGTTTCCCTGCAATATTTTTGAGGAAAAAATGAATTTAATTTGTGGACAGCAATATTACAATCAATCAACACACACTTCGGATAAAAGCAGCTAACATTGAAAATTCTGATGAGCTGTTTCTGTCATTTACTCATTTATTCTGAAAGAAAAGTTGCCGTACAGTATTACTAGGTTGACTAGTAAGGCAACAGATTTCTTAGCAAGTAATGAATTTGTAATCATTTGAAATGCATGCATAACATATCTAAATACTTGTTTTGACTGCACTGATCAAAACATAAATGCACTAAATCCCGCTAGATAGAATGACCAGAAAGTAACAAGGTCTCAGAATCCCCCCCTTGACATTTTTTCCTGATACCTCCACAAAGCCTTTTTTTTGAAGCTGAGCCTTTCAGAGTTTTTAGAGTAACTCTTTGTGGTCATTTTATCATCAATTTTGTGAAACTAAGCATAACATTCTTGCACCGCACCCATCTGAGACAGGTCAGCCAAAGCACGCCAGCTGGTACGCATGTAGCCTTGAATTTAAAAAAATGACCGTTACAACAAAATGATATATTTGATTGATTTTAAACTTCACAAACCAAGTTTCAAAACAATCAAGTGGGGACAGCTGAGTTCGGGGGGGGGGAGTGGAATCCACCCCCACCTGGTTGTGAGAGGGGCCAAAATAACCTGGATCTTTGAGGGTTAAATATTTCTCAAATGGAATTACTAAAACACTAAAATTATGGGCATACAGCAATGCCAATTCATTAAGAGAAGCTCAGGAGGTTAAGCTTATCTAGGGACTTCACTAAAAACTACAAGGCAGGTAACAATGTCATAAATATATTTACTGCATGAAGTTAACTTCTGCTTGGTTGGAACCCAACATTCATTATAATCCACAGTCTTGTATGATGTCTCCAGACGGACACTTTGTACCACAACATCAACAATCTCCCCTTTCCACGATACCACCAGAACAGGTGTCTGAGTCGAGAATGAATTCACTGGCACGCCAGTGACAAGAAAAGAAAATGCCAGAGGGGAAAACATAAATAAATTCCCACAGTGCGGCGCGACCTCAGCGCCTGGCTGTCTTGCCCATCTTCCGCTTGCCGGCAAAGAGATGCTTGGGCATCTTGCTGGGGATCCGGCGGTCCGCTTCGCCCTTCTTGGCCTGCATGTTGCTCTTGCGTTGCACCACTTTCCTCATCTTCTCAACCTTGGCTTGTTGCTGAGGAACAGGAAGAGAGGAGACAATAAAAAGCAGGTAAAGACATTAAAGCGGCTATGTTTTTTACAATCTGTAATGTTCAAGTTCGGCTGGGAATGTAATGTAATGTAAACATCAATTGAAGTTCTTTCTTAACCCCTTCGCGCTGGGACGCGGCTAGAAACGCCGTAAAAATTGAGATCCTCAGCCCACTTTTCAGCTATTAATCTCGGCCCATGCTCGAGCGAACACGGTGAAAGAAAGCAGACGCTGGCACTTGTATATATGGTGATTGGTCTTTGTGTGTAGCCCAGAAATGAAAAGGCCGAATTTGCATCATAATCCAATAGTCCCCACTTTGAAAAGAGGCAACGGCAATGTGGACGGGTGAGTAGAGCCGCATGCCACCGAACAATGAGCCTTTTCACCGTGTAATTTAAAGCGTGCAGAGCACGCAGGGCCACAAACCGAGAATTTGCGGTTTGGCAGGTGGCCTTCGTGGCCAAGCGAGGCTGGAATTCTTGGAGTCGGCTTTCGGAAAGAAATTAACGTCGTTAAGGGGTTAAACTTACATTTGTTTACTTTAGGTCGCTCCAGTAAATAAACATAAACATTAAGCTGGAAATATTTTTCTGTTTTGCTCAGTAATGAATCCATATTCCTAAACTGTATTTATATCTTCAAAAGCTTTCATACCTAATTGATAAACTCAGATGCATCATGTCAAGAAAAAAAACCTACCCAAGGCAGCATGCATTGACTCAAATTTTGTTCAAAATAGTAATTTGCAGCAAAATACTTATTTCCCAAAGAGTTGCTCAAGTCAGAGGGCCACTTGAAAAATTTAAAACCTCGACAAGAAAGATTTAATGGGGACTAACTTTAACATCAAGCAAACCTTCCACTGCTCTTGAAATTGTCAGGTCATCAATGATAATTGCAACGCTCATTAAGATTAGTTTTCATTAATGTGAGGGCACGTACCTGTAGCTCCTAACAATCAGACCCAAGGTAGTATTAAGGTACATGCCCTGTGTTCACATCCCCAGCATGGCACAATCATGGAAGGTTCCATGATTCACATGTGTCCTCTTGTATCAGGGAGATGTAAATTTTGCCGCACAGGTGAGAGGCAAAACCCGATGTTAAACTTATGGAATACACTGACATCGGTTTGCCATTATTATCCTCTGCACATTGAGAAGGTTATGGACTGAAGCAAGGTTTCTATCAGGGAAACATCGACCTTTCCAGTTTTTTGGTTTTTTCAGTTCTCACGATCAACTCAACAATCCTGACTGTACTCACCGTCTGGTCCCGAACTCCAGACAGATCCCTTGGCGTGCGCATACTGCTGACAGACCGGCCTCGTGAGTCCGTCCGCTGCTTCTTCGGTGCCACCGGAGTCTTGCTGCGAGATCGTGTTCGGGTGTAATGTCCCTGGAAACATTCAAAATGCAAAGAGAAATTAAATAAAAAACAGCAACAAACAGTATACAAATAAACTTTGTGCTCCCAAGATCCAAGACTGATAAGATAGAAAGCAATATGGGATCATATTGACAAATTACGGAGAGGGGGGGTGGTGCACTAGCCATGAGGCCCTCTCCTGTTCATTTTCAGCTAGAGCTTTATTATTCACAAAACTTGTCTCCACAGTTAAACATATGCTGCCGTAGCATACAGACGCACGCAGGAAACCAATATTTTATCAAGCGCTCTTTGAACAAGTCTAGTACCATACAGACAACACACAGTGCATACCTAGCATTCTTACTGGCTGCTAAGGACTGAGCATAGTTCTGTTATCCCTGGGTGGGATGCCGGTCTATTTCAGGATTTACCCCCTGCTAATACTGGTACCCATTTACGCTTCTAAGTGGAGGGAGACAAGTAAAGGAATAGTTGTTTGCTCAAGGACACAAAATATGGCCTGTGGCTGGGTTCGAACACTTGTCACTCTGAGTAAGAATCGCCAACCATGATCGTCAGGCCACACCCCCCAAGGCAGTCCATATCAAGCGCCCAGCCAATGTTTCTTTGGCAGATATTTTACCCCTTCCGTCGGCTCCACACCAAACTCTGCCATCTGCTCCTCAAAGCGTTTCCTCTTCACCTAGAATTCGGAGGGCAAGAATAAATATGGAATTTGTAAAGGGCAAAACAGATAGTGTTTCAGCTTGTCAGTGAGAAAGACTGACCTAAATAAAAGGTTATTCGTGTCACTAAAACAAGCGCATTCGGCCAAATTTTGAGCACATGTAGTCAAGCATCGGCAAATGAAAAGGCAAAATATCTAGACTCACCGGCTGGGATGATCGAGGCATGTGGGGCTTGTTGATGCGACGTTTTTCCTTGGATGCATTCATGATCAGGATTTTCTTGTCACGAATCCTGGAAAAGACATTCCCAAAACATAAATCACCTGCCGACCACCGGCAAAGTAAGACTGAAGCAAATATGACTTTTTAACTTGTGACAGCGTTGGGTTTCTAAAATAAATGTCAGAATGAGTTCTTTTCCACAAAACAGCATTTTGTTCAAGTGTTTTTTACACTCCTCCAACCTTCCATTTTTCATACACCTAACGGGATAGGCTCATAAGAAAAGTGTATAAAAACCGTATCTGCATATGTGGTTTTCAAAAAACAAAAATAAAGATGTCTAAAATTTCTGTAACTCATCACCTTTCAAAGTCCTTTGTAAGTTTTCAGTTTAAAGATGGAAGTCTTTACTTACTTCTTTGCTGTGGCTCTTATTTCCTTCATTTCTTCATCATCCGACTGTAAAAATGAAATGAAGAAAAAGAGAAATAAATCAATTTGGCCCTCCCAAAATATATGGCTCTGGATCCTTCCCTGTGCATACCTCAGCCATCCCCTTTATGAGGTGTCCCTAGCAAAAACCCCGAAGCTTCAAGACGTTAATGGCATTTCACTCTGGAACAACGCCAGCACATTCAGTGCGAGCTACCTTCAAAATATGCCCACAGTACGATTGAAATTTACGTCTTTTCATCCCGGAAAGCCAGTTGGCGTCATTCTTGTATTCTCCACAGACAGGGGCTGGTTAAGGTATGTTCACTCAGCACGTGGAGACAAGGCCGACTTGAGGACCCACTCACCGACATGTCTTCATCGTACATGCCCGCCTGTTCCCTCATCTCCTCCTCTCGCTCCAGCTCTTCCAGCTTGGCCTCAATCTCCGGGTCCACGTAGTCGGCGATGTTGTGACCCATCCAGATCTCGGGGATGATGTCATCCCTCTCGTCCTCCGCCACGTCCCACTCCTTCTGGAGGTCCAGAATGTAGTCGTCGCCCGCCTCCAGCTCGTAGTCACGGTAGGTCTTGCGCTTGGGCTTGTCCACGTCCATGGCCTGCTTGCTGGCGCGATTGGCCACGGCCGCTGGTACGCAAGGAGGCCTCGGCTGTGTTCGTCAAATACAATAAAAACATGCTAGGGCAGACTGTGTCTATATTGAGAATTTTCGGGAGACAGTTACGAAAACCTGTGCCGTAGACGGAACAAGTGCAAGTTTCCTTGATCTGATTCCTGTTACTGCTTGACCACAGTGCTCTTGCAAACATTTACCAAATTCTTAATTCGGGAAATGGTACCACTGTTACCTAAAAGCCCAAAATTCCGGTCAACACATAACGGTTACCATTTTCCAACATTTCTGCGGTGCTAAGAAGCTGTGTTAAACATTTAAACCATTTCTACTAAACCTGAATTAAAATCAGTACTTTGCATCCATAAAGCTTTGCCCTGTTAAGATAACTAGTGCTTTGGCATGAGCAGCGCTTGACTGTTTTGAATGCAGGGTGAGTAAGTTGGAACCAACAAGTTTCACTGATGACTTCAGCTGTTTGAGACAGGGGACTGCCGTTACAGTGCTAGAGACAGACTCTTACAGGTGGTCCTTGACAATTCAGAAAGTCCCGATGTAGAGAGTACCCGAACGTAATGTCATCTGAACCCCCAAGTTTTTCACACATTATCTGATTACTGTGCATGTAACATAAGCCGTTTTCCACTACTCAACTTCGTCTCCATCTCAGGCTTCCTTCCCAAAACCAATCCCCGATTGTGGGCCTGAAGCGTTTAAATTACATTGGATTACTGTAATTTTTGGCTTTTTTTGCATCTTATTTGATGTTCTGTGGCACTATTAGACTGATTACTGCGCTTACAGCTTCAAAGTCAGCTAGTTAAAAACAGTTGAAGCCTGAGACGGAGCCAAAGTTGAGTACTGGAAAACGGCCATATTCACTTCAGTTCCTTATTTGGTCATGTCTATAACCCCACATTCCAGCATCTACACCGCTGAACTTCTACGCTTAGCTTTGAGAAGGGAAATCCTTGTACAGAGTGGCTTTGGTGGCAAAAAATGCAGTCACACCCATGCAAGGTATCAACTTGATACCAGTCTCACACCTTTGTGTCTCTCTGCGCTGGCATGGCAACTCGGAGACGATTCAGGACTTCGCTGACCTTCTTGCCCTTCATCTTCATGTCCACTCTCTGAGCCAGGAGGCGGTCGCAAGCCTGCACGAGAAATGAAACAACTATACATCTATCACATCAGAGTGTAAATGCCGACTGAAATCAATCAAATTATGACATGAAAAATACAACATTCACTCTCTTGTTTGTATTCATCACTTTTAAAATTTCCATTCTGCAGACAGCTGTAGGCGTTGTTTTGAAGCTCAACCCAAATTAAAAATAGATTAAAGTGAGTTAAACCTGTGAAGCCACACCCTACTCCACTGGGCAGATTCAACCTTCTCGTGGCACTCCATATCTGTTGAGACACACCCTACTTCAATGGACAGACTCTATCTTTCAGGTCACACCACCCTGCTAGTGACGCATCCTACATTAATGGACACAGTCCACTTTCCCGGGCATAGCCTCCTTAAAGGGCAACTCCCAAACTTGTAAGACCACACGTAGTTCGGGGGTGCCACCTGTCACGGAAGACCATGCCCTTACCTCTGTCTTAACCTCCATGACCCCTTCCTCTGTGACGGCACTCATGCCAATCAGAGGAATCCCTTCCTCCTGGAACTTCTCCAGCATGGCCTGGAAAGTTGAAAAATACAAACAATGGACAATCAAGGAACATTACGTGAGTGAACAAATCAAACGAAAGAGTCCAAATCTTACGAAGTTAATGCAACAACTACAGCGCAATAGGTATTAATAGGAGTTGTTGACTTTGCAAAAATAAAAAAGAATCATTGTTTTCATATTATTGAAGATGTACTAAAATGAAAGCCTTCTCTCAAAATTTTTCCAATCTCTTTTCATAACCAAACCCAAAGAGAGTGACAGCATGAAAACAAAACAACTTCTCTTTACTCTGACAAGAAGAAAATGTCCCTCTTATTTCAGAGAGATTAAGGGGAAACTGTGCTATACTGTAAAAAAGAGACAAAAATCACAGGAAAATAAGAACTCCAAAGTAACTGAAGTTTACTGTCTAGCATATCAACCTTAACTCCCTTGACCTTCTCGCTTGGAACCTTCAGGAATTTTCTAAAATCCTCCATTCTGCAGTGTATTCTTAGCACACTAATTTTGATTTCCAAAGGCCATCAAGTCTTGTGCAGCAGGGCTCTACAGGTATTTTCCTTAGTCGTGTAAAAATCCTCCAAACCTCCAGGTGTATAAGAAGGATCTGGGAGGGTTGGGCTTTACAAATGACCTTTAACTCATGACATTTGAGCTTTGTTCTGCATACCTTCTTCTCTGGAGCCAGTTCGTCAATTGTGACAATGTCAGTCTTGTTAGCACAAACAACCAGTGGCTTATTGGAGAAAAGAGGCCGTATACTCTCAAACAACTCCACCTGTCGATCCAACGTACATGTATGCATTTATATGTGATTTCAGCTTTTAAGTAGCTAACTGAATGCCTTGGGTCCCCTTTCCATCCTTCTTCAAACTGGAACGCAGCTATCATCAACTTCTATACGATCAAACCTAGAATCCCTGTGCTTCTGTCGGTGCCAAAATCCACATGTTTCAGGAGCTATGAATTGCCCAGTGAGGACCTTCCTTATATATGTATGACCACTTCTCATCAGCTGACAGCTATCAACCAATAAACAGCCCAGGCTTTGTTCCTCATCGAAATTGTCTCACGATGCATGCATTTACTCCCCTCAGAGTTGCTGGCCGACAGGAACACATAAATTTACATGTAGGGTCTACTTTTTCTACTGGTATGTCACAGAACTTTGTATTTCGCAAACAAGTAGGTGGTAAAAATAAAAACAATAATTCCCAACAATAATAATGAGTGTTAACAAAATCTCATGTTGCAATCAAAACACAAACTACTTAACACTACTGAATGAAAGTATGCCCCTCTGTAAAAGTAATGATGCAAATGTACATTTTAAGGTAAAATCTGACCCCAGCAAAGGTGATCTTTCTGCAAACACTGACTGTTCATAATAATAGTAGGCAATATAAAGTGGTCTATTCATTTCTGAAGAAGCTAAGAGGGTCAGGATTAATCAGGCTAGTGATTTTTATTCTAAAGACGTTGAGTCACCTGCTCTTCCACGGAGTGGCCACACTGCTCCGACACATCCAGGACATACAATACGGCTGCACGTAGGTGGGCAAGTGCCGTGATGGCCTGCATCTCAATGGTGTTTCTGTCCTCCAACGGGTGGTCAAGAATTCCAGGGGTGTCCACCACCTGCCAACGCAGGTAGCGGTAATCCATGTGGCCCACGTACAGGGACTTGGTGGTGAAGGCATAGGGCTCCACTTCCACATCGGCCCTGGTCACCTGGATGAGTTGAAATGTGTGAAAAACAGAGTCAATATCACTCATGGCAGCCTCGGCTGCTCACTCTCACAAATCTTAGTTACTTGGAAAGAGGAAGACGACGCAATCACAGTTTTTGCACCTTGTTCATGAAGCTGGATTTGCCAACATTCGGGAAGCCACACAGGAGCAAGGTACGAGTGTTAGGGTCGATGGACGGTAGACGGGATAAGTGCTGTCGGACCTGCTCCAGGTACTGCAAGCTCTGGTTCTGGCGTTTCATGATGGTGCACATCCGGCCCATGGCCGCCCGCTTCAACTGTTTACAGCGGTACAGCGTGTCGCCGTACTTCAAGAGCCGGACATAGTCTCTGGCAACGCTGTAAAGATAGTGGCAAGAAGGGGTAGGTACAGTTGAAATGACAAAAGGGAAACTCAAACAGGTCTTGTTCATCATCGAATCCACTGAAATCCAACCCCCGTTGTGCAATACATATTGATGAGGGGTTTGGTGTCGGCATTTTGTGAAAGTACAAAGCATGACCCCGTGGCCGACTAATACCAGTGTAGAACATCTGAATGTGTCCCTCTTGGATACTTGAAGTTTTGGTTTACCGTTCATCAGGGTAATTTATAATTGCACAAAGTAAGCCCACTAAATGGAAAAATTCCTTTTAAACTGGCAGATTACAGACTATTTTCTCAGTGCTTTTGAGGCTAAGACAAACAAACTAGTTTCGTTGTCCATGCCCTCCTGTCTCGTCCCCTTACCCCCCATCCACCATCTTTTTTTGATTTTCCTTTTTTTGGCTTATCTACTGTAATGAGTTTTGACATTTCCAATGAAGAATGCAGCTTCCCTTGACAAAAACGTACAAGAAAATTTGAAGTCAAAACTTGGGAAAGAAAGCTTCACATCTTCAACACCAGGTGAGAACTTTTTTTTTGTAACTTGGCCTGGATTTAAATATTTGGTTTTAAACGTGGGCTACAGGGTGGTCTAAGAGAAATCGTTGCCAACAATCTATTATTGTCAAAGAATTGACAACAACAACAAGCAAGTAAACGAGATAGGTTTTGGGTAGCACCATGGATACATCTCTTTTTGAGTATGTGGGATTCTGAAAAGAACCGGTGGTACTTGATGTTTCGGACAGTATGCTCTCTGTCATCGGGAGACTGGACAGAGCATACTGTCCGAAACGTCGAGTGCCACTGGTTCTTTTCAGAACCCCACATTCTCAAAAAAAAAGTATCCATGGTGCTACTGCAAATCTATCTCGTTTACTTGCTACCTCCACCATGAAAACCTTCAAATCTCAAATAACGAGCAAACAATTACACTTCCATACTTATCAATTAGATGTCTTGCTGTGTTGATCTGACCCAGGGCCAACTTGTAATGATCTTTGTCATAAAGCACATTCATCAAATCTGCATAAAACGGATGGACATCCTACAAGGGAACAAAAAAGCAAATTTAAAGGGGTAAATGGTGCTGTGTATGTTCGCACATAGTGTTTAAACTCTGAGGATTTTTCTGAACTTTCTACAATCCAACAAAATTACTTCCCACAAAATTCTCTAAGTGCAGAATTACTGTCATTGCAAGCACTGCACTGTTGCCATGGTTACTCACTCCAACAAATTCCAACTTGCATGAAAAATGAGCTTGTTGGGTGTTTATGTATGACACAGACACTTTCCAAACCTCAAAATGAACCACTCTGTGACTTTTGATAGCAAAGCAATGATTGCACTACAGCAAAACTAACTTGAATCCTAACCCTAATGTACATCTTAACCGTAAGTACATGCAGCTTTCAAGGTGAACAAAGCCATGGGTACAATCTTTTCTGATCTTCATTTTATGTTAAAAAAAAAGGATTTGTGACAGACCTCCAGTTTGGGGAAATCAGTGATGATTTGGCTGAGTTTGTCGTGGTAATTCTGCTGCGTGTACTTGACCTTGCGCATGTAGAACTGACGGATGCGGCTGATCTTGTAGTGCTTGTGGATGACTGTCGGTGTCTTGCGCTGTGTCTTAGACAGCACAATGTCAATGAAATCCTACGTATTAAGAGCAAAACACGGATCAAAACCTGTTATTTTCTTTGAAGCTCAGCCATAAGAAACTACAGAAAGCTTCCATGTCACGGACGCGTGCTCTTACTGTTCAGAAGTTGCTTCGTTCGGTGCACGTTTTTTTTTCAAAGCCTGGTTACGCTGGTAACAAAAATGTAGAAAAAAATGGTCAGAGAGCTGCATTTTAGCGAAATTACCTGTGCAAAGACATATCCATATATGTGCATACATGTACACAAAGCAGTCAAGACAGTTTATCATGCTTGTCTGATACCGGTACCTACGTTTCTTCAGTTTACACGTAAATCCCCCTTTGATATGACTGGTTGGTCACATTAGTTGGGTAAACCCTCCCAGAAATACATGAATCATTGTTCTAGAACTTGAAGGGGGCCCATTGAGTACCAGAGTGAACACATCATGCACACAATGTGTGCAGGGATCAGAGCGTTGACTAACACGCACTGTGACTCCATTCGTTTGCACTGCATTTTCTGGTTCACACTGATGTCGCACTTTGCTACTCTATACTGCCAAGGTCAAAGTAACATAAGAGCAGTAAAGGTCACTGTCAACAGTCCTGTCAAGCCTGGGGGGGGGGAGAACTGGAAATGCGCTTGTTGTGCAAACGCAAGTACTGAATACATGTGACGTACTCTACATGTACATCTAAATGATACATGTACATCATGCATACAAACACAGACCTACAGTGTCCTTCTTATTAGAACCAAGGTACCCGTATCACCCCTGAGGAAGTCTTCTACAGAATAATGGACTGACTGCAATCCTAATGGTCACTGTGGTAACTGCATGAAGTAGGCCTAACATTAGAAGCTTACACTCTACCATTATTTACAGGTGTTGTACATGTACATGTAGGCAGGCCCTGCAGGTAGACGGTCATATATATGCATTTAGGACATAGTAAGAAAATTCTTTGTACATTTAGTATTTCGTGCGTGCGGCTTACTATGATATGCCGTACCATACGTAAATGTTGAGAAAAATCAGATTTTTGGGATTTAAATTGGATTTTTTTAATTTGTATAAAAATGTGAGACAAGTTGGCTCAACTGTCTATTCAAAAGCAAGCAAATGAGCTGCATGTGTAATAGTTTTCTTTTATTTATTTGTTTTGTGACAAAATTAAACCAATTTGGATTTAAATCAAGAAATTTAGATGAAGTAATTTGATTAAGTTCCCAAACCACCATGTCTTAGCCTTGGTGAAATGCAAACAGAATAACACCTGCCAGTACATGTACCTTTAGAGAAGACACTTCCTTCAGAGACATATACATGTACATACGTACCAAGGATGAAGTGCATACCAGGTTTCAAACCAAACTCCAAGTTTTGACAAAACTAGACTTCACAAGAATAATTAACAGAGTACTTAAACATGCGTCAAATGACTAACGACATGCCATGAACAACAGGTACATCTTTTGCATGTTTTTATGAACTCGTACATCTAGGTAAAACTGCTGGTATTTTACCTTGCTCTATGTTTTGTTTGTGATCCAACTCCACAGAGCAATGACTTGATTAAATATCACTTTATTAAGGACATGAATTTTGTGGTTTTAGTTACACTATAATGATTAACGTTTCTAATCTCAAGAAAATACATGTACATGTATACTTGTAAAGATGTAAAACGTTGTGTACACCGATATTTTACCATGTTAAACCATCGAGGAAGGACACAGAAGGAGTTTGAACTGCCCAGGCTGTAACATCTGGCCAATTACCGCTTTCTGGCAGATATCGTGCACGATATGGGGCTAATGGGTACCCCCCCACATGTCCAATCCCTATACACACTCTATAGACTATTGTTACCTAACACATCCCCCTAGAAGTCTGTATAGAATTCTTGAGATTCCGATCAAACAATGACCAACACAAAGGCGGGGGTTCTCTCCACCCCATATCTTGCATCATATGGCCCCTTTTGTACCCTATGATCATTGCTGCAATTTTTCACTGGTAATCTGCATCCTTAAAATGTTGTGCACTGCAATATAGGAAGTTGAATATTCATGCCATCAATGGTGCTTAGTATGATCAGAAAATATTAAATTTAATGCTTGTGCAGTTCCTTGTATTAGGCTGAGTGCCCTTAGTGTTCATGCACAGTCATTGCCCTTTGCTTTCTTCTGGAGTTATTTTGGGAATGAATAGCCAAGTTGTCTATAAGATATTGTGTTTTATTTGGATCATTTTTGTTACGTCTTTTTTACAAAAAGATCTCTTGAGCACTCCTTGTGATGAAATAGCACATTTTGTTCGTTGTGAACTTAACTGTCCAGTGGTGGTCAACATGTTGTTGGCCAGTCTTAGCCAAATTTGTACAAGGACTTTGAAAACTGATGTTTAGGAAAGACAAAATAAAATTACAAACATTGCATGAATAATGGAAGAGTGTATCAAAGTAAAAAGTTTATTAACGTTTGCAAAAGTGGATCTTCCGCTCTCTATTTCCTTGCCATGGCGATAAGTTTTACATGTAGTTACAGTAATTGCAAACAAAACACACAAAATATTGCTAGAATATTACTGGGCCCTCTAGTCTGGCTAAGGCCAAAGCTGCAGGCAGTAATCAGGTATTTTTGGAATGTTTACTATTGTATGTCTGACCGGCGGCAATGCTCATCGAATGCTTTGAAGTGAAAGAGTTGTAACTCCTTGAGTCTCCTTCCTCTATGGCTAAACTCTTAAGTGGGCAATTTAAACATGTTAAATGACCGTACGACGTATGAAATGAAGAAAACATCCAACCTGGGCTGAGTTACTCCCAAGTGTGAGATGTATAAACTCGGATAAGGTTAAGAAATTTTCTACAGAAATTGATCAATAGTTGGGCCAGCCCAACTGCATGCAGCAAAAGACTTAAAGAGTATGGGGACTGTCCCAATATGTCCAACTAACGTTACACTTGCACTATACAGCTTAGTTGGGAAAGACGCGCTTAGCTTAGGCTACTCGATAGTCATGATAGTTGGAGCGCGCGCTGTACTACTTTGACACTGACCGAGTTCAATGAAAGTGAATATTCACCTTTGCTGTTGGTACGACAGTTATCTTCTTGAAATTATACATCGACATCTTGCCAAGATTCTTGTATGTGTAGCAAGGGGGTACCGATAGTTACAGACACATACAGTATGTACGGGTACATGTACATGTACTAAAGTGCGCAAGTGCTACGTTGGATACACAAGATCCTGGCCGTCCGAGCACACGTGAGTTGCACAATGTACGCGACCGCGAATTGACCTTGAGTCTCATTATCAGACGAAAGAGGGCGCTAGACAGTGATTACTTCACTTTTTTTCTGATGTACTGTACGTACGTACGTACATGTACGTATCATTTTTTCCCGCCTTGCCAATTTCGTGCTCAGAAGGCAGAGTCGTGTGGAACTGTGTAAGTGAATTATCTATTCGGGGAGGATAATTTCACACTTAACTTGGGGCTGCTCGGGACGAATTTTATTCCGGGATGTTTTGGAATATCTGTCGATATCTGCTTGTCAGATTGGGTTTTTGAAGGGAAAGTTTTGACTTTGTTTTGAACATGTGCTCGCACAGTGGTTGATTTGAAATGGCGTGGTGGTGGTCGCCATTTTGTTATTAACTTAGACTCGAGTCGAGGAGCGTAAAGAGCAAACATTGATAAAGCTCTGCGGTCATAGCGCAAATTGATTTCCATATTCACAAAGACTTAAAGGGGAGAAAGGCAGTTACAGTTAAAAGGCAACCTGACTATGCATGCTAGCTGATTGACATTGGTCATTGATGGGGGCCCTAGGCTAATTTCATTGTGGCTTGAAGTTGACGTTGAAATGCCAATGCCATGTGACAACAGTACTGAGTACTACTATGATGTTTATTGTTCAACGTTGCAACCGTTGTTACATAATATAGTTTACTTGTTTGTAGTGAGAGTGACAGTTCTGGTTAACTTCTGGATTAACTTTGTCATGCATGATAACCAGAAAAAAAAATCAGTACATGATGTACACATTGTTGCTTGAAGGCTGAGGCCTGGTTACTGAATTGCAAGTCACACAGAAAACTCAAGTGTGACGTGTAACCATACAACTTTGTATGGGTTCATAATGCTCTGGGCGTTTGAATGCAGCCCAGTTATTAGAGGTGCACATTACATGTACAACTCAGAGACTGTCCCTGATGTGGAGAAGTCCTTTTATTTGAAGACAGAGCCAGGCCCCTGAAAGAAAGAATGTTGCCTTATTGGGTCAAAAATCCACATGCTATTATTAAATTTTTCTCCCATGTTTTCCATTCATACACTACTCAAAAAAAGTTAAGGGCCACTTTTTATTTTTTGTATACTTTTTTCAATGAGATATTTTACTGCTAAAAATGTGCATTTGATGTTTTGAAACATTTTTTTATTTTTTTATTCCAATGAGAACACCATCTAGACAAATAAAAAGTGAAAGAACTAGACCCCACTCATTGCCTGCAAAAAAATTACAAGTTAATAAAAAAGTGGTCCCTTTTTTGTGTAGTATATAAGTTATTCAAGTATTTTCTATGAACTTTACGCAATGTCACTCGATTAACTTTTTGTGAAGAATTGATACTGGGAAAAATTGTTCTGATACAGTCTTATTCACACCCATTCTGTCCCAATGCAGACTCTTACTTGTAATCCTAGAAGTAAACGGTTGAAATTTTTCAAAACACATTGTGCACTTTGTGTTCAGATTTTATGCAACTTGCCTGCTGTGGCGCAAGCAAATAAAAGTCCACCTTGTAGAATCTGTGAAGTCATTCAAGCAGAAAGTCGTTAAAAGCTGTTGATGAGGTGTCATGGTTGTACTTGTAGTTGGCTATACTGTGTCAGCTGACCCATAGGTTTTGGGAGCCTTCGTGGAAAGCATGTCTGAGAATACTTCAGAACTGGGAAATGTGTTTTTCCTGTTGATTTGAATGGCATGTCACTCACATTTATGAACTGACTTTTGCCTAACTACATGTATTCTTACATGCATGAAACAGTGTACGCTGGGTCTGGACAAGTCGACTGTTTGCCGACTCGACCATTGAGACAACTCAACCCTCTGTGCATCAAAAGGAGAGACAAGTCAGCTGTTGAGACGAGTGGTCCGTTGAGACAGGTTGTGTGCTCAGCCAAGTGGTCTGTTGAGACGTGTGAAATATGTCAAATTCAAACAATTTAATAGCAGCGGTACTGTGACTGGCTTCTTACTACATGTAGGCCTACACTCTTTTGAAACTTTGTGCGTTGTCATGAAATGGCGTCCGCAAATGGGCAGATGTAGGACTGAGTGGGGTAGTGCAAGAGAGAGCAGGATGCCGCACATGTCCGTCAGCCCTGTGAAAGCTTTGCCGTCCCATTCTGTGTCCAAGTTAAGTTGCAGCGTCATGCAACGCACACAATACCAAATGCTTTGAATGGGTTCAAATACCTTGCACCTGCGCTGATCTTGCCACGTATTTGAATGTTAAACACGTAGACATCTCATACGGTCGAGTTTTCTCTGTGTGAATGTCCAGTTGTCTGAGCAGCTGATTTGGAAAAAGGTCAAGTTGTCTCACTGGTCCAGTTGTCTCAACAGTCAAGTTATCCAAAGCCGAGTTGGCAAGCAGTCGAGTTGTGCATCCGTGTATGCGCTGGGCACGGCGCGGTGTTCCAGTCAAATGTGAGCGGTCATGAAACGATGTGTATGTCACTTTCCGTGTACCTCGCTGAAGAGGGGCAGTTGATATGCACGTGTAAGGCACCACGGTCAAGAGAAAAAAGGGCACTGCCATCTTGGCGGTGAAACACCACTTTTTGGAGGCATCACGGCCAAATGGGAGGACACCGATGGCCATGGCCTTCATGGCCGTCGGGAAATTCCAGGCCTGCAGTCAGTAGGTCAGTGTACATGTTTATCATTTCTGTTGTCTGCCATGAAAAGAGCCAGGGAACTACACCACATTTGGTACCAAGAGTTGCAGTGTGGCCAGTCTGAAGGTAGCCCGTGATTTAGCCATTATTCAAGGCGTGCGTAGCCATCTGGACACTCAACGCACGCCTCTGCCGTTGGCACGATGAAGAGACCCTATGTGAGTCATGAGCCGAGCATGGTGCACCGGTGCCCTACATGCCTTGACAAAAGGCTACCCATGATTCAACCCGAGGTGCTGTGTGCCTGTTCTGCATGTATGCACTGCGTGTATTGGTTTCGAATACAACGGAGCACTATCGGTATCGTGTGAGCGGCGATGTGTACACAATTCTCTCATCTCAGTGATAGTAAAGTCAAAAATTAATCCAGTTACCAGTAATTTGTAAACTGACATTTTCAATTGTAAGTGCGCTGGTTTTGTGTTGTTATGAGCAGAGTTCAAATACGTCTGAACGTTAATACATACATGTACACATACCTGTACATACATGTCATTTGGACATGGTAGACAATATTGGACCATTAATTTGTACCAACAGGTGAACATGCGCAACAAGTGTTTTTGGTGACAAATCTTTTGATCAAGTTGATCGATCATGTTCCACCTCGCTGCCACGGGAATGTGCACATGTAAACAATGAGTAACGTCCTGTCAAAGGTCTGTTGAGAGCTCAACCTTTGTGACACGCGTGCATGTGCTGAACGTCATGTCTTTCCTTCCTGAGAAATTGGTAGAATTTGTCTGGCTGAAGAGTGAGTAAGGTTGATCTGATTTTAATCTGCACGCCTTTCTGCTCTTGGGGTGCCAGACTGATAAACCGTCCTCAGTCAAATGTAATTTAACAGTTTTGCAATTCGTAACTACACAATATTTTGTCAAGGAAAGTATTCCCAAGAATAAGCCTGTGTGCTGTTTGCTGTTCTGTAGCGTCGCATACACGTTATTAGGAACCTGTACTGGATCACTAGTCTCAAATGGTACAATTATTCCCAAACATGTAATGTAGGCAAAATAATCATTTTATTGTTGATCTACATGTGGTATGCAAGTACGTGTAGGCTAATCATTTACAGAATACTTGAATGGAATTGTTTTAAAAATTCATTGAATTGCACTGTGTTGAATCACACAGTACCAATAGACATAGACTTCTTACCAATATACGTTGTATGTATAGTACATGTACGTACATGTACAGGTGCCTACAAGCATGTACATGCATGTGTACACATATACAATATGTGTAACTGTAAGGATGAGGCCATCCCTGCACTGGAGACCAGGGTCACAATTTTCACCTGTCAAATTTGTCATCGCCGTTTGTGTATAGAGTACCGAAGTGTGACTTCACTGTGAACCAGAAAGTGCAGTGCAAACGAATGGAGTACGCACGTGTGTTGGTTCACGCGCTGGTTCTCGCGCTAATGCCTTTGACACACTAATTGTGCACTCGACGTATTCACTTCGCTACTCTGTTCACGTACATGTACAATATCGGACTTATAATGTGGTTTATGTTTTCTACATTACTGTTTATACCAGTACTTGACATATTTGTATAATTTGTTCATATATTAAGTGTGCAAATACAAAACACTTGTTATACAAGTTGTATGTGATTCAGTGTAGCAAAACGTGCATGTGTGCAAGTACACATGAGTTAATGGCTAGGTGTGCACGTACATATTTATAAACACCACTGTACCCCTCTCTCCCTCAAAAAAAAATTTCAATCAATATCTAAATGGGTAAGTACAAGTGCACAGTTTGTCTTCCAAACACATTATGGGATAAAAGAAGTTTTTCCCACAACTGTTTCAACAAGGGGGGCATGTGGAGAATATTGCAAAATTTCTCTTGTGGCAGCAGTCCAGGCTCATGTACCGTATTTCAAACTATCACACATACAGTCCACGTATGCGTAAAAGCACTTTTTGTGGGCAGGTGGTAGACGTCCAATAAATGCCTCCGCGGCTGACATTGTGATTGGAAGTGCCAACGTGCTTGCACATTACAAGTTTTAAGAACATTTACATGTACAAGTCTGTGTTGCCACAGATGTGACAGCGTCTCCTTAGATTACATGGTGTTTACTGGGCCACCTGTAGCAATCAAGCTCAATTAACTCAAAAGCCAATCATTGTTGTGGTCACAGGTTCTTGTGACAAGTCTGGCTTCAGTGTTGTGTATGCAACATTCCCATGTAAAAGACAAAGAAAATTGAAATAAGGCTTGTCAGGAGGACTTCTGGCAGTTCCATGATTAGGAAAGAATCTTAGCAAAGAGTTCTATTTCAGTTACTAGGACAGTACATTGCGATTGAAAGTTAACTCCAAAATGGGAAAATTCTTTTCTCTTTCCAGGGAATTCCTTTTCATTTCACAAATTGTAAAAGCGTGCCAAAAGTGGGAAACTTTTTTCACACCTTTTCATAACAAGTGGGAAAATATTTTCACAGATTTTCCCACAAATGGGAAAAAATTTTTCACAGATTTTCTCTGGTAGTGGGGAAATAATTTTGCAAGCTTTCTTCAGTTAGTAGTATTTGTGCATGTAAATTGTACATGTAGACTTCAGGAAGTTTTTGTTCTCTTGGGTTTCAAACATGGAAAGCGGAGGAAAATTAGTCTGAAACAAAAGTTCTTTAATTCTCTGGAATATCCAGAAGATTTGATTACTTGAGGAAGACAGCATTAAAATTTCAGGGCATTATGTTTCTGGGTTTAGGGCAAAATACAATGCGATATGCGAAATCAAAGCTGGCTATGGTGGAGGTCGGAGACCAGCACTGAACACCGGACAGCTGAATTGAGTAGATCCTCCATTATAGCGCTCTCGAGGTGACCTAACACTGTATAATTGAGCGTTATAACCGCTCAACCTAGGATTTAACTGACTTGCATGTGCACCACATCTGTGCACATGCACAGATATATGTACATGTATCCACATGTCCTGTGTGTGAATTACGGTTACATGTATTGGCAGATGTGTTCACCTCAATTTCGGAATAAATGCCTTGTATCCAGTTACATGTATCTCGACATTCTTGTGACGCCGATCAAAAAACCACCATGCCACCTCGTGCATGCCGTGCCGCATTGCGAAACACGTTCTGCATCCACACCCGCCGTGACATCCTAACTGCTAACTGCGTGCCCATTCATGAACGGTCCAATCAATGACATTTTCCAATAACCATGTGACCGCAAAAAGTGACATGTCATCAGAAAACCCAAGTGAAAACAGACCCAGCATGTCGCGCCAAACAACTGGCGAAAAGACAAGATTTGCTTCATGAAGATGCATGTACACAAACAATTTAAGCAGTTGATTTTTATTTGTCGGTAGAAAGAAACCTTTCAGTAACAAAATACTAGATGTAGTATCTCAATGTTGATTATTTTGTGTGCCAAACTACACCAAGAGAATAAATAAAAAGTGGGCAAATAACCCATGTCACTACAGCAGAGCAAGTTAAGCTTGTTGTACATTTCATGTGCTCTGTGACTTCATGACTCAGGGACTCCCGTTCAATTAATCAAAATCGAGACAACTTTTCTTAAATTTATTCTCGGACATTGACTAGTGTTTATTTATGGTTATCCAAGAAAACAACTGCACTACGCGGGCACGGCTCGCCGTGTTGAGCATGTGCTCGCACTTGCGCTGCATGGACCGGGCGGCTCGGCCGAGTGCATGTATCGCTACTAGACTACTACAGCACACTCTATGTGGTGAGTTGGCCCTGGCCTGCCCCAAGCGCAGTGCAGCCTGAGTAATGGACTCTTCACTACATAAAAGTCGTGCGCGAGGGGTCAGTGTGGAACATTTCTATGCACCATGCTTCTCGTTTTCGCAAGTCTCTGCATAATTTTGGAACCTTTGGCACCGCTTTCAAAAAATAGTCACACTGTTTTCGCACACTGTTTTTTCTCAGTGTTTTGGGAAATGTTTCACGCCGTGTTCACAAAATTTGCACCGCTTTCGCACTGTTTTTGCACGTCGTTTGCCCCTGATTAATTGCAGATTCATGGGGGGGGAAAGTTGTGGTCAAATTGCGAAGGCGAATCCCTTTCGCATTTTTTCCCATTCCTTTTTGCAGCGTTAACTTTCCAATGCAGTGTAGTGTACAGACATACGTACATATCAAACCCAAGAGCAGCACTTTGTACTCTTCAAAAACTGTCAGGAGGAGATTTTTTTTCTCATAAAATCAGCTCAGTGAAAATTCCCTTATGAGTTTGGCACCCATGGTGGCTCTTGGGGGTCATTTTTGGTGGCAAGATGCCTGCCAGCATAGTAACAGGGGATTGTTTTTGGTTTAATCTGTAGAGTCTCCCAGCTTTGCTACAGACCCCAAATATGGTAAGGAGCAACCAGAAGGGTAAAAGCACCAAGAGGTCTGAGGACTCCCACAAGTCCCTCAAGGAGGTAGAGAGCGACCCGATGCAGGACCAGGAGGAGGAAGAGGAGGAAGACGAGGAGGAGTACCAGGTGGAGAAGGTGCTGGGCAAAAGGATCAAGGGGGGACAGGTGGAATACCTCCTGAAGTGGAAGGGCTACCCAGAGTAAGTTGGCATCGATGCCTAGAACCTTCACAAATCTCTCCACGATCCTCCTGGCAGGAAGTGGAGGGTTTTGAAAGGACCAAGGCTGTACGGTGAAACTGTGCAGTTGTTTTCAAGTGATGCATTGTGCTAGGGTCTTGGCAAGGCCTTTCCAGAGGTTGCTTGAGGTTGCTTAGATGTTAGAGTATGATGGACTTGGTCTAGGAGGCCCAAAGCTCTGCCGGGGCATTCATTACATTTTGCTTTAGCAACAGTGCCAATGACGTTGCTTATGCTGTTTATAATAGGTCTATCAACAAAGCAATAGGGATTGCACAGGTGGTGTTGGATCTTGATGGATTTGGTTCAGTACCAAGTGAGAGACTATAGGGATTTAGGGTTAATTAATCTGAGATTTCTAATGTGTTTGCCAAGTGTGATTAGAGAACGTGTTCATCTTTCAATTTGAGAATGGCTTATTTCCTGCCCAAGATGGTGGCCAAAGGAGTGTGTTTGGTATCATTTGCAGTAAGTGCAAGTACTGAGGTGGCATTGCAATTGCCCGTGTTTTCTTTTGCAGTGACCAGAACACATGGGAGCCAGAGACGAACCTGGACTGTCCCGAGCTGATACAGATATATGAGGATTCGGTGAAGCAGTCACAGAGCAAACGGAAATCCACAGTAAACGGCGGGGATGGCGACTCTGCCAAGAGAAAGTCCAAGAAAGTCGCAGAGGTTTGTGACAGTTCCTCGGTTGGTTAGTGTGTGGTTTGGGCATTTATTCTCTTCATCACACGGGGAATGCTTCTTCTCTCCTTGCGCTCCAAGGTAGGGTTCCCTGAGGTGCCGATGAGGCAGGCAGAAGTGGCTTCCCTCTACCCCCCACATTATGTGTTTTACATGTACATGCCAAACACAAGCACCTCTGGCTATGCCGACAGTCTAAAAGTAAATTCCCTCAGGATGCACAGTTTCTGTACTTTTACTTTCGTGATACATCGACTACTAATCCGTTTCTCCTAGAATGAATTGATATTACGTCTCCTGCCTTCCTCTGTGTTACTCAGATTTTTATCATCTATGTTTCCTTCTTTTCTGTCGTGTGTGTTTATGAGGTGGGCAACATCATGTTTGGAAATGACCGAACCAAGAAGCCCCACCCACTGAGCACGTGGGCACTGAACACAGGCTCTTCTCCAATGGCACGCTTTATGTTCCAGCTGTGCGCATCATATGCGCGTGCATGCATGCTGGACTTTTGTGCACAGATTTCAGACGTGAATCACGACTGATATTTATCAAAACACATAGGAGGGGGAACTTAACCCCTTCACGCCAGGGTTCTTTTGACTGTGACTATGCAAAGTATGCAAAGCTCTGTCAAGCAGCAGGCCCCATTGAACCAGCAGCTGCATGGTGAATAGACTGTATGTTTGGTATGCACTAATCCTACAACAAAGCTGCGGCTGTGGACAGCTCCTGGTATGAAGGGGTTAATGAATCTGTCTATAGACAGGGGAAGCCCTGCTTGTTGTACTTAATAGACCTTTCTCACGATACTGTTTGTCTGGTCCCCTGTAAACCCAGTGTCAATAGTAATACAACTTCACGTTGATCGAAGGAACAGG